CTGTTTTAGCCACAGTGATACCTCATGGAGTTTATATAATGGAGGGGAAAAAAAACCAAACCCGTTGCCATCGGGTCAATTCCGACTCATAGTACCCTATAGGACAGGGCAGAACTGTCCCATAGGGTTTCCAAGGAGTGCCTGGTGGATTAGAACTGCTCACTGTTTTTTTTTTTTTTTTTGGTTAGTAGCGGTAGCACTTAACTACTACGCCATCAGGGTTTCCATATAATGGAGAGAGAGACCATAAAAACATCAACTAATAAAGAAGATAATTTAAAATCGTGGTTAAGTGCTATAACAAAAATGAGATGAAGAGCTAATGGAAAGCGTTTTGGTTACTACCTGTATACAATGTATACAAATTCATAATGTGTAAAAGTATCAAAATATACTTGTTACTTTAACATGTTTATGGTATCTGGTAAATAGGGATCCTCAGCAGGCTGCTTTCCATGAACATTTTAGAATGCTACAGTCTGTCCTCTTTAGACAAAGGGCCTCAGAGGGTTTGTAGGCCTGATATCCTTACAGCATTAGTAGAAAGTTTAATGCAACTTCAAGGCAGCCTATGAAAGGTGTGGATTCTGAATCTCAGACACCACTCCTTGGAGCTGGCAGCCTCCACTTGCATTACTGTATTTGAGGAGGGTGAAGCCAGTCTGTGAAGCCCAGAAAAGATGCCATCCTTAAGTAAATAACCAACTGAACATGTTTGAAGGATGTGAAACAAAGATGAATGTAGTCAATTCAGAAAAATGAGCCCATGGGAGAAGAGAACAGTGGCTACAACGGTGCAGAACAAAACTCCCCAGATGGAGGATTTTATATCCTGCTTTACAGCAGAACACAATATTGTCTTTATCAAGGCCCTAAGTTTTGCCTAATAATCGATGCTTTAAAAAATATATTAAAAAACAACTGCTATATGCTAGTTGGAACCCTGGTTAAGAGTGGTTAAGAGCTCAAAAAGGTCAGCAGTTCGAATCCACCAGCTGCTCCTTGGAAACCCTATGGTGCAGTTCTACTCTGTCTTATAGGGTCACTATGAGTCGGAATCAACTCAACGGCAACGGATTTGGTTTGTTTGTTTGTTTAAATATGCTAGTTACTAAACATAATGTATTAACAAGCCTCACAAGAAATTGGTAAGGTAGAAGGAAACAATTGCAGCGAGTTTTAGTAACTTGACTAGGAGTCCCAGTTAGCAGTGGTAGAGTTGGGAATTGGAGCTCAGGTTGTCACTGAGACCCAACCTGTTCTTTGCACCCACCATCCAAGCAGCCTCAGATGCTGCCTCCTTGGTAAGAGAGGAGTGACAGAGCCCAGGCCATGATCTGTCCCACGTGGAAGCCCCCCACCCACCATTACCCTTCATTCAGCAGAATCACACTTGACCATTCCATAAAAGGCAAGGGGTTCTTTCTGCTACTGAGGGCACGGTGGTTGACAGTGTTTTTTGTTTTAATTTTTTAAAAATTTCACTGGTCTTTCAGTATTTTAAATCACCCTTACATAGCCAGCCTGGGATTGCTCTTTTCCAAAATTAAAATATCTTTGTTTTTGTTACAAAGTAGATCATACTTGCTGCAAATATTCAAAAAATAAAATAAAATAAAAAGCAGAAAAGGAGAGCCTTCCTATACCCATTTTTTCCCCCAGTATATCCGTAAATGTGCCTTCTGAGAAGAGTAGGATGGGTCCTTTAATCATCTCACAAGGGGCTCTGTGATGCTGGTAAGGGAACTACGGAGTTCCCCTCAGGTTTTCAGGTGATACTCTGGGCTGTCCTTAAGCTTAATAATAATTAATTCTGTTTTCAGCAAACCTTCATTGAATGTCACCTCTGTGCTTGATGTTGCTGATCCAAGATGGGCAAAACAGCCTTTGCCTTAGGAACTTATTCCAGTGTTGAACACCCTGTGTAAACTAAGGTGATTAGAGAATGGCACATACATAAGTAACTGCTCATCAGTTGTTGTTGGTGTTAGGTACCATCGAGTTGGTTCCAAGTCATAGTGGCCCTATGTACAACAGAATGAAACACTGCCCGGTCCCACACCATCTTTACAATCATTGCTAGGTTTCAGCCTATTGTTGCATCGACTGTGTCAGTCCAACTCATTGAGGGTCTTCCTCTTTTTCACTGACCCTCTACTTTACCAAACATGATGTCCTTCTCCAGGGACTGGTCCTTCCTAATACCCCCGCCAAAAAAAAAATGAAACCCATTTCCATCAAGTCGATTCTGACTCATAGTGACCCTATAGGACAGAGTATAACTGCCCCGATAGGGTTTCCCAGGAGCGGCTTGGTGGATTCAAACTGCTGACCTTTTTGGTTAGCAGCCAAGCTCTTAACCTCTGCACCACCAGGGCTCCAAGTCCCTCTTGGTAACATGTCCAAAGTGCATGAGATGAAGTCTCATCATTCTTGCTTCTAAGGAGCATTCTGGCTGTGCTTCTTCCAAGACAGATTTGTTCATTCTTCTGGCAGTCCATGGTATATTCAGTATTCTTCACCAGCATCATAATTCAAAGGCATCAGTTCTTTTTTGGTCTTCCTTATTCATTGTCCAGCTTTTGCATGCATGTGAGGCGATTGAAAATACCATGGCTTGAGTCAGAGGCACCTTGGTCCTCGAAGTGACATCTTTGCTTTTTAATACTTTAAAGAAGTCTTTTGCAGCAGATTTGCCTAATGCAAATACATCATTTGATTTCTTGACTGCTGCTTCCGTGGGCGTTGATTGTGGATCCAAGTAAAATGAAATCCTTGACAACTTCAGTCTTTTCTCCGTTTATCATGATTTGCTTATTGGTCTAGTTGTGAGGATTTTTGTTTTATGTTGAGATGTAATTCATACTGAAGGCTGTATTCTTTGATCTTCATCAGTAAGTGCTTTAAGTCCTCTTTGCTCATCAGAGAAGTATCCATATATTCAAGTGTAAAGAGTTCTTTATGTTCCAGGTAACCCTGACTCAGGCTGACATAGATGGGGAAGGAGTGGTGCATCCTCCCCAGGAGTCCCCAGCAGTGTGTGGGCTAGGAACTGCATGCACATGCATGTTTCTTTTCATCCTAGTTGTTGAGATCTCCCTGGGCAACATGTGCAAAACGTTCCATGTGTTCCAAGTACATGCCAGGGCAGTTAGTCAGCAATTCTGCTTCAAGAACCAGCCCATATTCCATTACACCAGCATTTGCCTGCTCACCACCTTTTCAAAATGGAAGAAATTGAGATCATTGCATGGAAAGGCATTTGCTGTGCAGAGGAGGGAGACTCCTAGGGGGAGGTAGGGCTGGGACTAGGAGCCAAGTCTTCTAATGCCCAGTTCAGTGCCCACGCTAGATCCTTAGGGGCACCAAGTGGGCAGTCGTTAATCTTGTATGGACTTTTTATCCAGCACTGATTCTATTGCCCGGATGGTGCTGGGCAGCAGAGATTCAAAGCTGGACCAGTCAGTCACTGCACTTGATAAACAACAGCCAGTGGCAAGATGAATGGATAAGTTGACAACTTTTCTACAACCTGAAAAGGGCTGGTTGCTGAGGAAGCTCGGGAGGGGCACCAAGCCAAGGGCTGGGGAGACAGTAGGGAGGGCTTGCCAGCACAGTGAGTGAATGAATGCTCATTTCAAGAAACAACTTAATATTAAGTTTATTTGCCGGAGTTAGGACCTGGAGAAAAGACCACTGGGATTTCCTGATTAGGACTTTAAAAGGTCAAACGAGGGGCATTGCACCTGTGGAGATCTGGCCAGGATCTAATCTGATTTGATCTAATTAAACGAGATATACAGTAAAACCTGGGAAAGCTGGAACCTGTGTAAGGTGGAAACCTGTCAAAGAAGGAAGACGCAAATATTTTCCACTAAAACGAGTAATAGAAAAGTGGTAAGACTGCACCATGACACGGATGGAAAATTTGCAAGACCTCCAAAAACAAGGCAGTCTCCGCAAGTTCCGGCTTTCACAAGTTTCACTGTAATTAATGCTGACATATTAAGACTATCCAGTTGCTCTTTTTTGTAGTAATCATAGTAATAGTAAAATGAGACACGTTGCCTTTATGGGGCTAAGCTTTTTGACTTAAGATAAATTCCTTTCTTTGGGTCTCAATTCCGAAACCTATTCAGAGGTGTGGCTCTCTCTGGATTTAGACTTAAACCAAACCAAACCTGTTGCCATCTAGTCGATTCTGACTCATAGTGACCTTATAGGACAGAGAAGGGAGAACTGCCCCATAGGGTTTCCGAGGCTATAAATCTTTAAGGAAGCGTACTGCCACATCTTTCTTCCCTAGAACGGCTAGCGCGTTCCAACCGCCTGAACTGCCCACCTTTTGATTAGCAGCCAAGCGTTTAACCACTGCTCCACGTTGGCTCTGGACCTAGACTACTTAGATTCAATTATTTGGCTTCAGCTCTTTGCTGTTACATTACCACATGCAAGTTAATTTGTTCTCTCTGATCCTCAATTTCGTCATCTGTAAAATGGGGATAATGTAAATCGGTTCATCGGGTTATGCTAAGGCTGAAATTAAGATAGTCCAACTACTGAGGCATAGTGCTCAACCTGGGGTGGTCGCCATCGTTGACTCCTGCCGATTGACTTTCGCTGATTGACTCCTGCCGACTGGAGGACCATGATAGGACTATCTAATCAACAGGATAAAGGCGTGGCTCACAGCCGCAGCGCGGGGTGGTAGTGCGGGATTTATAAGGCCAGCGTCTGGCACTGGACCCTCAGTCCGTCTGGGACTGCGCAAGGGGAAGGTCGTCCCAGCCTATGGCTCCGCACACGAAGGACCAGAAGCAGGTCTGCCCAGCGGCGGCCCTCGCGAAGCCCGCGTGCCCAGACCGAGTGGCACCCAGCTCGCTGCGCGCGCTCCCGGGCGCCGAGCCCCCAGGTCCTGGGGGAGGGGCCTGCGGCCGGCCGGCCCCCGCCCCCCCGTCCGAGCCCCGGAAGGTGCCAGTCGCGCTTCCGTCTCCGCCGGGATGCACGGAGGGCGGAGCCGCGGCCCGGGGACGCGACGCGAACCCAGTTCCGGCGAGGAGGCCGCGCCAGTGACAGCGATGGCGGCGGAGTCGGCGCTCCAAGTTGTGGAGAAGCTGCAGGCGCGCCTGGCCGCAAACCCGGACCCCAAGAAGGTGAGTCGGTGGGCTGCGCAGAGCGGGGCGGGCGTTGGCCGGCGCGGGCCCCGTAACGGTCGGGGGCCCAGCTGGGGTCCCCGAGGGGCGATCCAGCCCGGCCGGGGCCGGAGACTCGGACCCTGTGCCAGGCCCGCCGGGCTCGCGGACCCAGGTCGGGAAGTTCGTGGCCCATCGGCCGCTTCCCAGGCGGTGGGACCCCGCGATGTCGGACTCGCAGCTCGGCAGCTCCCACCCCCCCCCCACCTTCCCTCCCGGCCTCCGGGACGGGCGCCCGCGGCTCCCGACGGCGAGGGGCGCGCTCCAGCCGGGCGCCGCGTGCCCGGGGCTGTCCCCCGCCGCTCCTGGCGGGCTCCCGGAGCCGCTCCCTCGGCGCCCCGAGCCAGCTGTTTCCTGTCGGGATGGCTCGCCGAGGGCCGGGAAAGGCGCTCGCTTCGGAGTTAACTCCTGCCTGCTCCCGGTTCCTGCGCTGCGTGCTTAGCTCCATTCCTCTCCCCTGCGCAACGTCCTTGATTTCTTAGTGTCTTTAGTGCTCAGAGGAGGTGGTACAGGCTGTACACGAGAGGGACTAGACTTGGTATGTGTGGTCCTGCATCTGTAAGCAAGGTTTTCATTGCTTTTCTTCTTTGTATTAGAGCATGGACCTTTTCACTTTCTCAGTGAATCCCTTTCACACTAAATAAATACTTCACTCATGGAAACTTAGGTTGAAATTGGGAAGGTGGAAAAAAAAAAAAAAAAAGGCTAGAAGTTACTGCTACCTTTCTTTCTGGGCTTGATAGAAAGCCCAGAGTGATGGGCGTTTTTATTTGTACCTAGCCAGTAGCATTCGTTTCTCTCTCGTTTCTGTTACCCACCTTCTCGGTTGTCTGTGGGAGTGTCCGGTGGATATTAGGATTTTTCCACTGAGGTGTTTGTAAGCATTCTAGCTAGGGTGTACCCGTACCTAAGAGTTGAATCTCTGAGCTCTAGAGTCCTCTTCAAAGAGGAAGTAATGGAGGGAGGCAGTTGAGTTGAAGTGGTGGAGAGATCTGGGTTCTAATCCATTTGCCAGCCGTAGACGTTAGGGGACTTTCCCTTTGCTGAGCCTGTTTCATCACCTGCATCATCATCCCAGGACTAAACTAAAAAGCTGTACAGTGTCAGGCTCGGAGTAAGTGCTGAGTGGATATTAATCACCACTCATTAAAGAGACTTTCTCTTCACCTTGTTCCTAGCCTTTCATAGGAGAGGTTTTCTCCATTTCCAAAGGCTCCCAACAGCTTCTGATAATCAGATCACTTTTTAACTCTCCTTCCACTTATTCAGGAAGCCATTTTAGTTTTAAATCCGTGAAAACTTAAATGCTTTCAATTGTGTTGTGTTGTATTTTCTATTGCATCTTTAGTACCTACCTAGTGGCCAGGCATATTTACAAGTTTCGTTTTACAATTACTCTTTGTGGGCATCTAATAAATGGTCCTTATTTCTGTGTGCTAGTTTGTTTTCTTAAACACTGTAAGGTTTATGACTGATTTTAAAACCACAAAGCAATATTATGTAACCATCCCCCATCTGGTCTTTATTTCCATCAGATAAAAAGTGGTTTATGTAGCATTTATAGTTGTGTTTCCACTAGTATTTAAGTTTTGAAGAAGCTTTTCTAGTAGTTGGTGTGTATGAAATATCAAATTAGCAAAACATTTTTTGAGTTTCCCATCCTACTTGAACTATAAGTGATTTTGTGAGCGTTTGGACTTTGTCTTCATAGGTAGAAAATCACCCTGATCTTCTGGTTTTGCACTGTGAAGTGAGCATTTATGAAGATGACAGAATGTTGGGAGATCATTTTTACAGAGGACATAGTAGCTGGCATTCAGAAATGGGCTAACTGCTGAGGGAAATTGCAAGCTGGCACACTGGCTGCCTTCGCTTCAACCTTCTGTGAACGCTACAAGCTCACACAGGTTGCTCTTGAAATTGCAAGATGATTATATAGCAGTATTGAATTTGCAACCAGATTTTGATTTCAAACCATTATTAGCCAAAGGGTTGATTCTACACCTGCATTCATGGATTTTCTGGCATTATACACTGGTGTTTAACTGTAACTTAGTTTTCACATTTAAGTCCATCTGTGATCTAGGCTTACTTGGGGAGAAGGTATTAGGCTGACTAAGGCCGCTTGGTCTCTGTTCCTACTATTTAATTGGAGACCATTTTCATGGCTGCTATAGTAAGGAATCAATACTTTTAAAATTTACCTGTGCTGTGGTACATTTTGAATGCTTAAACTACAAAGAACATGATTTAGTAGCAGGTGGAGAGTTAGGCAGTGCTGTCACTAGGGGAGTATGGGTGTTGGGGACTGCACTGGGTGACAGTGTCAGGGGGTGACACCAGAATGACTGTAAAATTTTTGTGCAGTGTTTCAGCAGAAATTTATTATTTTTTAATAAAAAAATCCCCGTAGTTAGTTATAACAACAAAAACATTTTTTGTAAGCCCAGCTGACATGTATCAATATACCTACAAGGCTAAAACTCTATGCTAATTTACTTTTTGAACCTTCTAATGCACACTGATCAGAGCTATTGTTATTACGCAATTACAGTGACACTTCAGATCACATGGTTTCATCTACACGGGCTACAGGAGTGCACTGTTATTTTATTGCTGACAGTGTTTTTGTAGTCGTTCATTTTGTCAAATTTTCTGGTGTTTTAGCTATGATATTGTGGTAATTCGTATTTGTGAACCTATATCAATAACTTTTTTGAGAATGAAGTAGTAATTAAAAGGAAGAGAAGGAGTGATATACCGGAATTATGATTTACGAGTAACATTAGTACAGAAAACATTAACTGAGGATTCTGTATGGTCTGGTATGGAAGGAAGTCCATGTGGGGGGTGACGCCATGAGTTACTGCACTGGGTGACACCAACCCTAGTGATGCCACTGGAGCTAGGGGTCATCATTATGAACATCTCTTACATTTTAGGGTGAAGGTGTGCACAGGGGACAACTGAGATTCCTAAGCTTGTACTGTGCCAATGTTTGACATTTGTCAACTATCTGTTGTTATCAGTTGGTCCTTTGGTTTGACAACACAAGTTTACCTGGAGATGCTCAAAGTACTTTTTCCTTGTTTTGCTCTGTTCTTTCTCAAAATTCATGGAAAATGGAGGCCCTTAGGAGTCCTTTTTCTCTTTTGTTTGGCCAAATCAGTTGGAAAATCTCGAGGGTTTTAGTTTTGCATGCTTTTAAATTACCCCTAGTAACCTTAAGTGAAACAGAAAGGCAACATTCAGTCCACTAGTTAGTGCTAGGCTTGGAGACAAACACTGTCAGTAACTTCTGGCCTCATCCTATATGTTGGCTTTGTAGGTTCTGGGACTCTTTGCTCCCATGGTGACCTCCTTTATGATGCGGATTCTAACCTGTCCGACAGTGTAGTACTGAGGAGCTGTTCTGCTTTGTTCCAAGTATGCCAAGAGACTTAATGAGCTACTGTTCCATTTTCTTTTCCTATTTCCTAAGGATGGTGCTATTATGTTGAATGTTTCTTCTGGCTTTGTAGTACATGCCATGGTAGACACACTTTGCTTACTTACTTATTAGGCAAATTTACCTAACCCCACTGGGATGTTTCAATATCTGTAAAATGGGGAGAATAATACCTACTTCACGGGGTTATAATAAGGATGACGCAAGGTAACACATGTAAGCACTTATCGTAGTAGCTGACACACAGTGGATGGATATAAATGTTCCCAACCTTCCCCTTCCTGGGAATGGCATTTGCGGGAAACAACCTGTTTTTAATCTTTTTAGTGATTCTAAGTATTCCTTTAAGAAAAGGAATTGGCATTAATTTTTGTACACATAGCTTGGGTGACATGAAATAATACACATAAAAATTGTCCTGAGTTAGATGATGGTGGTCATCAAGTTTAAAGTAGAAAATAATTTTTAATCGGAGTTACCACTTTTCTTCTTGCTTGTTCCAAGTCAAACTAGCTTATCATTTGTCATTTTATTGCTCTGCCCAGCAACCATGTTAAGTAATTATTGAAGTAGAATAGCCAGAAAAACATACTCCACCTAATAGCAGTATGGCATACTAACGATAGCCTGGGCTACACTTGGAAAAAGAATAGATCTTGTTATCTACTATTTAAATGTAAAGGTAGTCACAGTTATCTATTTTGATGTGATTGTATTTTGCAGCATTCTTGTAGGTATACATAAATATTTCCTGAAGAAAGGCATAGCTAGTCATGACTTTTGGTAGAAATAGAGCAAGTGGGGATTGGCTGAGGAATATTCATTTGAAGATCTAGGGTGGAACATTTAAAGCGCTATCAGTTGATAAATGAAATGATTAATAATAAACATTTATTGAGCATTTATAGCGTTCCAGTCACTGTGGCTCAGGACTGGACATGCATTGTTTCTGTGAATCCTCACAGCTAGTGAAATTGAGGCAGGATCCAGTCCCTCTTTTGCAGGAAAGCTAACTGAGGCTCAGAGATATTACTGACTTAGACAAGATCATCCAGCGAGGAGGTGACAGAGCCAGACTGTGAAGCCCATTTCTGACTCTGGAACACCATATTAACAGCTCTGCTCTACCAATTATGACCTAGTTTCGGGGACTAGAGAAAGGAAATGTGGCCAAACCCAGATCACTTTTCTAATCTACCCAGACATTTTCTGTTTATCATTAACAACAAAACTCTGATTCTGGTAACTTAAAATGCTGTTGGCTTCCCACTTACATCGAGATCAGTTCTCTTTAACATCGTGAGTCCTCCTGGAAATGTGACACCCTTTTCCTGTAGAGACCTCTTCCCCCTTTTCCTTTCCTCCTCACCAGATCCGTGGGTAACTTTCCTAAAATCGGTACCTTTCTTGTAAATTCTCTGACAAAACTGGGGCAAAATGATAGCTGCCGATGACTTTTGTTAGACTTGGTGGGTTTTGATTCTCTTCTGAGTCTTTCTTCGTCTTGATGTAGCATAGTGGTTGAAAGCACAGGATCTAAAGACACAGACCTAGTGAATCCTGCCCCATTTGCATTTTGGAGCAGGTAATTCAACTTTTTTGAGCATGTTTCCACACTTGTAAAATAGGGACGGTAACAGTACTTGTTATTGTAAAAGACTTAACCCCGAGTAAGCACTCAACTCTAAGATGAGTATGATTATAACTTTGTAGAAATTAATGTTTCATGTTGTATTCTCTCTGCAGCTATTGAAATATTTGAAGAAACTCTCCACGTTGCCTATTACAGTAGACATTCTTGCGGTAAGAGTTGTACAACTTTTAATGTTACAAAACAATTTCCTGCCCCCTTCCCACTGGGAGAGATTTTAGAGTAATGATTAAAAGCATGGACTTTGGAAATGAAAGAAGCCAGACACCAAAGGCTACATGTTGTATGATTAAGTTTTTATGAAATGTTCAGAATAGACAAATCCATCAGAAAGTAGATTAGTGGGTGGCAGGGGATGGAGGCAAATGGGAGGAACAGGGTTTCTAGAATTAGATAGCAGTGATAGTTGCACAATATTGTGAGTGTTCTGAAAACCACTAAATTGTACACTTTGAGATAGTTAAAATGGTGAATTTATGTTATGTGAATTTTATCTTCATTAAAAACAAAGAAATAAAAAGAGCATGAGTGTTGGCACCAACCAGGCCTGTTTCTCCTTTGTAAAATGAGGCTGATCCTGCCTCACAGAGTTGTTGTAAAGGCTGATTCAGATGCTGTATGCAAGGCTCTTGTTAGCTCAGTGCCTGGCAGCTGCCACTGTCTTTCTTGTTATTATTGTTAAAGTGTTTTAATTAAAAGTTTTTCCTCCTTTGAATGTTGTATGCTTTGCTACTGTGTGTCATTGGAGATTTGAGGCAAAAATACAAAGTATTTTTTTTTCATTTCCTGCTACTTCCTGCCTCCTGCGTTTCCAATGTTTCTTTCTTTCTTTTTTATTGTACTGTAGATGAAGGTTTACAGAGCAAATTAGTTTCTCATTAAACAATTAATACACATAGAATTTTGTGATATTGGTTGCCAACCCCACGACATGTCAACACTCTTCCTTCTCGACCTTCGGTTCCCCATTACCAGCTTTACTGTCCCCTCCTGCCTTCTAGTCCTTGCCCCTGGGCTGGTGTGCCCCTTTAGTCTCATTTTGTTTTATGGGCCCGTCGAATCTGTGGCTGAAGGGTGAACCTCAAGAGTGACTTCAGTACTGAGTTAAAAGGGTGTCCGAAGGCCATACTCTCGGGTTTTCTCCAGTCTCTGTCAGACCAGTAAGTCTGGTCTTTTTTTGTGAGTTAGAATTTTGTTCTCCATTTTTCTCCAGCTCTTATCTGGGACCCTCTGTTGTGATCCCTGTCAGAGCAGTTGGTGGTGGTAGTTGTGCTGGACTCAGTCTGGTGGAGGCTGTGGTAGTTGTGGTCCATTAGTCCTTTGGACTAATCTTCCCCTTGTGTCTTTGATTTTCTTTATTCTCCCTTGCTCCAGACAGGATGGGACCAGTGGAGTATCTTAGATGGCTGCTCACAAGCTTTTAAGACCCCAGACGCTACTCACCAAAGTAGGATGTAGAACATTTTCTTTATAATCTGTGTTATGCTGTTTGAGCTAGATGTCCCCTGAGACCATGGTCCTAGCTCTCAGCCCAGTAATTTGGTCTCTTAGGGAATTTGAATGTGTCTGTGAAGCTTCCATGACCTTGCCTTGGTCAAGCTGTGCTGACTTCCCCAGTATTGTGTACTGTCTTACCCTTCACCAAAGTTACCACTTATTTATTGACTATTTAGTGTCTTTCCCTCCCCACCCCTCTCCTTCCTAGTAACCATCAAAGATTGTTTCTTTCTGTGTGTAAATTTTTTCATGAGTTTTTTTTAGTAGTGGTCTCATACAGTATTTGTCCTTTTGTGATTGACTTTATTGACTTATTTCACTCAGCAATAATGCCCTCCACATTCATCCGTGTTTTGCAGATTCATCAGTGTTCTTTATTGTTGTGTAGTATTCCATTGTGTGTATGTACTATAGTTTGTTTATCCATTCTTCTGTTGATGGGCATCTAGGTTGTTTCCATCTTTTCGCTATTGTGAATAATGCTGCAGTGAACATGGGTGTGCGTATGTCTATTCATATGACAGCTCTTATTTCTCTAGGATATATTCCTAGGAGTGAGATTGCTGGATCCTATGGTATTTCTATTTCTAGCTTTTTAAGGAAGCTCTGTATCATTTTCCAAAATGGTTGTACCATTTTACATTCCCACCAGCATAAGAGTTCCTAGCTCCCCACAGCCTCTCCAACATTTGTTATTTTGTTTTTTTTGATTCGTGCAAGTGATGTTGGGATGAGATGTTATCTCATTGTAGTTTTGATTTGCATTTCTGTAATGGTTAGTGATCACGAGCATTTCTTCATGTATCTGTTAGCTGCCTGAATGTCTTCTTTGGTGAAGTGTTCATATCCTTTGCCCCTTTTTTAATTGGATTATTTGCCTTTTTGTTGTAGAAGTGTTGGATTTTCCTATAGATTTTAGAGATTAGACCTTTGTCGGATTTGTCATATCCAAAAATTTTTTCCCAGTCTGTGTTGTTGATGTTGTCAGGTGCCGTCAAGTTGGTTCTGACTCATAGCAACCCTGAGCACCACAAAATGAAATGCTGCCTGGTCCTGTGGCATGCTCACAATCGTTGTTATTCTTGAGCCTATTGTTGCAGCCACTGCGTCCATCCATCTCGTTGAGGGTCTTCCTCTTTTTCGCCGACCCTCTACTTTACCAAGCATGATGTCCTTCTCCAGGGACTGATCCCTCCTGACAGCATGTCCAAAGTAGGTAAGACGTAGTCTCATCATCCTTCCTTCTAAGGAGGATTCTGATTGTACTTCTTCCAAGACAAACTTGTTCGTCTTCTGGCAGTCCATCTTATATTCAGTATTCTTCGCCAGCACCACAATTCAAAGGCGTCAGTTCTTCTTCGTTCTTCCTTACTCATTCTCCAGCTTTTGCATGCATATGATGCGATTGAAAATACCGTAGCTTGGGTCAGGTGCACCTTAGTCTTCAAGGTGACATCTTTGCTTTTCAACACTTTAAAGAGGTTTTTTGCAGCAGATTTGCCCAGTGCGATGCGTCTTTTGATTTCCTGACTGCTGCTTCCATAGGTGTTGAAATCCTTGACAAGTTCAATCTTTTCTCCATTTATCATGATGTTGCTTATTGGTCCAGTTGTGAGGATTTTTGTTTTCTTTATGTTGAGGTGTAATCCATACTGAAGGCTGTGGTCTTTGATCTTCATCAGTAAGTGCTTCAAGTCCTCTTCACTTTCAGCAAGCAAGATTGTGTCATCTGCATATCACAGGTTGTTAATGAGTCTTTCTCCAATCCTGATGCCCCTTTCTTCTTCATATAGTCCAGCTTCTCAGATTATTTGCTCAGCATACAGATCGAAGAGGTATGGTGAAAGGATGCAACCCTGGTGCACACCTTACCTGACTTTAAACCACGCAGTATCCCCTTGCTCTGTCAGAACAACTGCCTCTTGATCTGTGTACAGGTTCCTCAGGAGCACAATTAAGTGTTCTGGAATTCCCCTTCTTTGCAGTGTTATCCATAATTTGTTACGGTCCACATAATCAAATGCCTTTGCATAGTCAATAAAACACAGGTAAACATCTTTCCGGTATTCTCTGCTTTCAGCCAGGATCCATCTGATATCGGCAATGATATCCTGGTCTGTAGGCTCCCTTTTTACTCTTGTGGTGAAGCCTTTTGATGGACATACGTGTTTAATTTTTAAAAGATCCCAGTTATCTAGCTTATTTTCTGGTGTTTGTATATTGTTAGTTATGGTTTGTATTCTATTTATGCCATGTATTAGGGCCTCTAGCATTGACCCTATTTTTTCTTCTATTATCTTTATAGTTTTTGGTTCTATATTTAGGTCTTTGATCCATTTTGAAATAATTTTTGTATATGGTGTGAGGTATGGGTCCTGTTTTTTTACAGATGGACATCCAGTTTTGCCAGCACCATTTGTTAAAAAGATTGTCTTCCCTATTTAATGGACTTTGGTTCTTTGTTGAAGATCAGGTATAGGTGGATGGATTTACATCTGGGCTCTTGATTCTGTTCCATTGGTCAATGTGTCTGTCGTTGTTACCAGTACCAGCCTGTTTTGACTACCATAGCTGTATAGTAGGTTCTGAGGTCAGATAGTACGAGGCCTCTTACTTTATTCTTCTTTTTCAGTAGTGCTTTCCTTATCCGGGGCTTCTTCTCTTTCCATATAAAGTTAATGATTAGTTTTTCCACTTCATTAAAGAATGCTGTTGGTATTTGAATAGAGATTGCATTGTATTTGTAGATTGCTTTGGGTAGAATTGACATTTCCACAATGTTGAGTCTACCTATCCATGAGTATGATATGTATTTCCATTTATGTAGGTCTAACTTGGTTTCTTGCAGAAGTGTTTTGTAGTTTTCTTAGATATAAGATATATTGTAGCGAGACTTGCAAAGTATGTTTTAGAGAAGAGGTATTGTTTGTTGAAGGAGCCCTGGTGGGTGCTAACTGAAAGGTTGGCAGTTCAGACCCACCAGCCGCTCAGCAAGAGAAAGATGTAGCATAAGGAAGACCCGAGAAGAATTGATGCCTTTGAATTAGGGTGTTGGTGAAGAATATTGAATTTACCATGGACTGCCAGAAGAATGAACATATCTGTCTTGGAAGAAGTACAGCCAGAATGCTCCTTACAAGCAAGGATGGCAAGACTTCATCTAGTACTTTGGACATGTTATCAGGAGGCACCAGTCCCTGGGGAAGGATATCATGCTTGATAAAGTAGAGGGTCAGTGAAAAAGAAGACCATCAGCGAGATGAATTGACACAGTGGCCGCAGGCTCAAACATAGCAATGATTGTGAGGATGGTGCAGGACTAGGCAGTGTTTCATTCTGTTGTACACAGGGTCGCTGTGAGTCGGAACCGACTTGACAGCACCTAACAACAACAGTGGGTCGACAGACTTAATGGTCTGACTGAGACTGGAGGCGCCCTGGAGAGCATGGCCCTTGGACTCTCTGTCAGCCCAGAACTAAAACAGTTTCTGAGGCCAACTCTTCAGACAGGGATTGGACCGAACTGTGGGACATAAAGTGATACTCGTGAAGAGCCTCTTAGTAAAGTAGATCCAAGAGACCAAAGGGGCAGCTTCTGTCCAGAGGTGAGATGAGAAGGCAGAGAGAGTTAGGAGCTGGTTGAATGGTCATGGGGAATCAGGGGCGGAAAGGAGGAGTGTGCTGTCACAGAATGGGGTGAGCAGTTAGGGTCACATAACAATGTATGTAAAAAAAATTTTGTATGGGAGACTAACTTGAAATGTAAACTTCATTTAATTACAACAATAAAAGAAAAAAAAACATATGGTTGATATGAGTCGAAATCTTTTTAGTGGCACACAACAAGAACAACATTGTTTGTTGAACAGTTTGTCAAAGCAGTAAGCTTTATTTCTGTGAAAAATGTGAGCCTCGTTCTACACCCCTCTAACAATTCCTTTCTCAAATTTGTAGGAGACTGGGGTCGGGAAAACAGTAAACAGCTTGCGAAAACATGAGCATGTAGGAAACTTTGCCAGAGATTTAGTGGCCCAGTGGAAGAAGTTGGTTCCTGTTGAAAGGTAAGAACATTGCCCTTTTGGTTTGCTCAACTTCATGTTAAATCTGGTACTTGGAAATGTTTATATTCAGAAAAGCTTTTCTTTATTCTTTTCTGCCTTCTTATTTAAAATATCTGTTTTGTCTCAGTTATCAAAATAAGTCATGTCATTGTGTAACATTAGAAAATATAGAAAAGTAGAAATAAAAATAAAAACTTCCTGTGATTCTACCTTCCAAAGATAAGCATTATTAACATTTTGGTATGTTTCTTCCTAGTTCTTTTTAAGAGGCATCTTTATGTAGTTGGTGGACAAACTATAAATTTGAAAACTCCCCTTTTATGAAACAAGTTAAACATGTCCCCATGTTGGAAAAAAAATAAGCATTTTGATGTCCACAAGCTATTTGATCTTTTTTGTATCCTGTAGTTTAACTAGTTGTTTTCCATTTTTTTGAATATTTGAGTTTCACAATTGTAAAACCCGCTTGAGTATTTTTTTATTGTTGAAAATATACACAGTGAAACATAACACCAGTTCAGCAGTTTCTACATGTACAATTCAGTGACTTTGATTACATTCTTCAAGTTGTGCAACCATTCTCACTCTGCTTTTCCAAATTGTTCCTCCCCCACTGACATAAACTCACTGCCCCCCAAGCTTCCTGTCTAACCTTATGAGTTGCTGTTGTCAGTTCTTTATGGGGCCCTTGTGGCACAGTGATTAAGAGCTTGGCTGCTAACCAAAAGGTTGGCAGTTCGACTCTACCAGCTGCTCCCTGGAAACCCTATAGGGCAGTTCTACTCTGTCCTATAATGTCACTATGAGTCAGAATCAACTCAGATTTTTTAAAAGAGCACAGTGCTCAAGGCAGACATTCTTCACTAGTTACTGCTTGCGTATTTTTGAGCATAACCATTTATATCTTTCCTGAGATGTTTCTAACTCTGCATTTTCATCATATCTTTTGTGAGTTTAGCTTCTGTGATCTTGTCCTCTGAACAAGGATTCCACTAAGACTTATTTGCTTTATCTGCTTTTTCTTTTTATTTTAGGAACACTGAGCCTGATGAACAGGACTTTGAGAAGAGTAATTCCCGAAAGCGCCCCAGGGATGCTCTTCAGAAGGAGGAGGAGATGGAGGTGGACTACCAAGAAAACTGGAAAGCCTCTAGTAGCCGATCCTACAGCCCTGACCACAGACAGAAAAAACACAGAAAACTCTCAGAGCTTGAGAGACCTCACAAAGTCTCTTACAGTCATGAGAGGCAAGACGAGAGAAAGAGATGCAACAGGGTCTCACCAGCTTACTCTTCAGACCACGAATCTTCTGATTATGGCCATGTTCAGTCTCCTCCGTCTTCTACCAGTCCTCAGATGTGTGTGGACCACTACAGATCCCCAGAGGAGGACCACGAGCCCATTGTTCTACACCAGAAGCCTGGAAAAGGCCACAGTAATGCCTTTCAGGACAGACTGGGGGTCAGTCAAGAACGACACCTGGGTGAACCCCAGAGTAAAGGGGTGGTGAGTCAAAGCAAGGAGCACAAATCTTCCCACAAGGAAAAACGCCTGTTGGATGCCAAGGGAGATGAGAAGTCCTCCGCTGTGAGCAGAGAGAAATCACACAAGGCTGTTTCCAAAGAGGAAAACCGAAGGCCGCTCTCAGGTGATAGCACAAAGGAGAAGCCACCCCCTAGTGGTGCCAAGAAAGAGAGGGAAAGAGAGGGCAGCAGCATCAAGAAGAAGTCTTTACCCCCCTTGGAGGTTGCTTCAGATAACCACCTTAAAAAGCCAAAGCACAAAGACTCAGAGAAAACCAAATCAGACAAAAATAAGCAAGGTTTAGACAGCTTAGACATAGGAAAGGGGGCAGGAGACCTAGTGCCCAAGGTAAAAGAGAAGGTTTCCAACAGTCTAAAGTCTCAAGAAGGGAAACTGAAAACTTCCAGTCTGGATAGAAAGTCAGCAGGCTCCCTCCCCAAAGCTGAGGAGGCAGATATGGATGACGAATTCGAGCAGCCCACCATGTCTTTTGAGTCATACCTCAGCTATGACCAGCCCCGGAAGAAAAAGAAAAAGATCGTGAAAACTTCAGCCACTGCACTTGGAGAAAAAGGACTTAAAAAAAGTGACTCTAAAAGCACTAGTAAAAACCTGGACTCCGTTCGGAAACTACCTAAGATGAATGAAAGCAAATCAGAGAAATTGCAGCCGTCTGGAGCCGACTCAGCCAAGCTGAAAAAGGTAACTCCTTGAGCCCCTTGGTGGCCTCGCAGTCAGAGCACCTGGCCCTCCAGAGCTCACAGGATTCGCCTGCCACTGTTTTGTTGGCGTGGCTTTTCATGTCCTGTTTAATTTGAGATTGCAGTAATTTTTTCCGGGCCTCACTAGCTTCCAGGATAGGTCATACCCAAGTTATGTGTTTTCTGAGGTATCCCATTGTGATGGGCCCGTCTGTATTTACTTCCTGATGTCGGTGTTGTCAGACTTGACTGCTCCCCTCCTCCATTCTGGATCCGACTGCAATGTGCCCAGTTAGTCCTGTTAGGAATGGGCTGGAGGGAAGGGCTGTTTTCATCAAAGGGGGCTCTCCATTCACTGTCTCTTCTCTGCAGGTCCCCACCGATATATTGCCAGTGTTGCCAGACCTCCCATTACCCATGATACAGGCCAATTACCGTCCACTTCCTTCCTTTGAATTGTTATCCTCCTTGCAAACAAAGCGAAAAGGTAATTTTCTATATCTTTTTTTAAATAGGAAAAAGATTTTAAAAATTCACTCACAATCTGTCACCAAAACAAAGTGATCATAACATCAGATTTTGGTGCATTTCCTAAGAACACAGGTGCTGGGGTTTGAAGGCATGGGTTTGATGCCCAGCTAAGGCATCTGTAAGTTACATGAGCTTGGTAATTTCTTAGTGCGTTTGGGCCTAGTTTTGTGTTTGGTAAAATGGGAATAATAATGATTTCTGTCTCATGGAGTTGTTAAGTGGATTAAAAGCGATAATGCCGGTAAAACTCTTAGCTTCTGGTTTTTTCACATAGTAAGTGTTCAATAAATCTTAGCTGCTGCTGTTATTTTTTAGCCCTTTATTTTATATGTATTACATGCGCTTTTTATCTTAACCTTAAAAAAATTGTCTAGTTTTAATAGCAAAAGAATTAGAAGCCACCTGTCTACCAGCCAGAGACTAACAGTTAAATAAATCATGGTTCATCTATGCAGCGGTGTTCTATGCAGCTGTAAAAAATGTGGAAGGTCTTTACATACTGATGTAGAATGATCTCTAAAATAATGTAAGTGAAGAAAGTAATGTGTATAGTATATTTTTGCATAGACTCTGGAAGGGTACTCAAGAAACTGGGAGCATTGATTGCCTTTGTGAAGGGGAACTTGGAGGCTGAGGAGTGAGGTGGGAAGGAGAGTCCAGTCTAAAGCTTTGTACCTTTTGTAATTTACTTTTCTGTTCTCTGGTTCTATAGCACTCTCTTCACCCCAGGAAGAGGAAGAAGCTGGATTCACTGGACGCAGAATGAATTCTAAGATGCAGGTGTATTCTGGTTCCAAGTGTGCTTATCTCCCCAAAATGATGACCTTGCACCAGCAGTGCATCCGCGTACTGAAAAACAACATCGATTGTAAGTCGCACACTTCCCTCCTGCTCTCGAGTGCACTGTAGCACTGAAGATGTTGTCACTGTGTGTCTTGGCCAGTGTTCAACACTTTCACCTTTGATTCTCTGCAGCAATCTTTGAAGTGGGAGGAGTCCCATATTCTGTTCTTGAACCCGTTTTAGAGAGGTGTACACCTGAACAGCTGTATCGCATTGAGGAGTACAATCATGTGAGTATCCTGTTTTGGTTGAGGACAGTTTTCTGGCTTCTATCTCCAGAAATAACCTTGTTTCTGTGTATCTCCCAAAGCTGAAGGGCAGGCCAGTGGTCAGATCACTTTTCTGGGCATTTTCGGTTTGCATCTGTGCCTTTAAACAAACATATTTTTAGCACCTGCTCCTGACATCTTAAGTGGGCCTCTCGGGCTAGAATCAAGGTGGGATTCAAAGGGAGCAAAAAACACTTCGGCGCCTCCCCTGAGCTTGCCTAGTCACAAAGGTCGAGGGAGAATCCTGGCAGCAGAGCACCTGGGACCCAGGGCAGGGACAGCGCTCTGTGTTGACTCTCAGGTGTCTGGTGAATATGAAAGAGCACAGATTGGCTGGGTGTCTCCTGTGACATCTAGAGCTATCCAAAACTCCTTGTACTAATGCTGAGATATACTCATTTGATTACATGAGCTGTCTCTAATTCAGAGAGACCTCTTCTTAGGTGGCCCCCTCCCCACTGGAGCAATACCTGGACTTGACTTCATCCCAGCTCTGCCCTTTACTGATTTCCTAAAAGCAAAAAGACTGTGTCTTAACCAGCTTTGGCATTGTCTCCTCTCCCGGCCCCACTTCCCCCAATAGCAGCTAGCACAGTGCCTTACACATTCTTTTAATTTAGTGATTTTTTTTTTTCTAAACTGTGATATTTAAATATTATACTGCTATGAGGCCCAAAAAATTATTAGAAAAGTAGTCACCCTTAGGTAATTAAAGAATGGAAAAGAGATATGTAAGAGTGCTTGTATGTGAATGTATATAAGTGATGTCCTGGTTCTGGTTTCAGGTATTAATTGAAGAAACAGATCAGTTATGGAAAACTCACTGTCACCGAGACTTTAAGGAAGAAAGGCCAGAAGAGTATGAGTCGTGGCGGGAGATGTACCTGCGGCTGCAGGATGCCCGAGAGCAGCGGTTACGAGTACTGACAAAGAATATCCGGTCTGCACATGCCAATAGGCCCAAAGGTAAAGGGAAGTGGGGGGAGCAGGGCAAGAATGGCAGGATCGGGCCTGGCAGACAGTGGGTCTGTGCCTTGGTCAACAGCAGGGTCTTGTGCGCCCGGCTGATACAGGACTTCTGGCACCTGAATTTCTCTTGCATTTGTGGAAGGTGGGCAGGGGTGGGCATGCTTCTTCTGCCACAGCCCATGCTGCTGTACAGTGGGCTTTTCAGGACTGATAACCCCTTAGTGTTTGGAGGACTTGAAAATCCTTTATCTCTTAATAGTGTAGATTATTCAAATAACAGCATCTCTGCACAAGAAAGCAGGTATCAATCTCTGTATTTCTCCACAGGCCGACAAGCAAAGATGGCCTTTGTCAACTCTGTGGCCAAGCCGCCTCGTGACGTCCGAAGGAGGCAGGAAAAATTCGGAACAGGGGGAGCAGCTGTCCCTGAGAGAGTCAAGTAAGAGCTCTGCCCCTGTGTGGTTTCTGCATGGTCAGGGAAGGGAGCCATCCAAGCTTGTCATCATCCCTAAGGCAGTGGTAGGAATGGGAACAGACTCCTTTTTAGAGGTAAAATCAAGGCAGTGCAGAGTGTGGGCTGTGGAGACAGACCTTGGCCCGCTCAGCACTTTACCTCCCTGAGACTCAGCGCCCTGGACTGCGGAGTGGGGTTGACAATTATTCCTGCCCCTCTGGTGGTCTAGAGCGAATGGAGAACAGGGCCTGTCTCCTGGCAGGAGCTTGGGAAACGGTTTCCCTTTCCCCATTTAAACAAGAAAACATTTCTGTGATGACTAAATTATGTAATCTAAGCCACATTAGCATTTTCAAAGTACAGATTTATAGCTAAACAGTGAAAGGTTAGCTGAGATTGTCATTCATTCTGAAAGGCTGGTGCAGTCGTCTCTAAACCCACCACCAGAATCCAGGGTCCACTGCTCAGACAGTGGCCACAAAACAGTCCTCAGACAGGCCAGCTTCAGGCTGCTCATGCTGCGGGCAGATTCACTCATGCTTATACTGACCAGCTGTGTTCCTTGTTACAGGATCAAGTCTGACCTGTATGCCACAGGAAGCAGCCACACTCCCTCCAGCAGTGGCAGCAGCAACAGCTTTAACCCCTCCACTGAGGAGCCAGCCTACGACGGCCCGAGCACCAGCAGTGCCCACTTGGCGCCGGTGGTCAGCAGCTCTGTCTCCTATGATCCTAGGAAACCGGCTGTGAAGAGTAAGTAACTTGGGGTTCCTGCTCAGATATTTCAGAACGAGTATTTGAACCTCTTCACCGTCATTGCCACTGGATCACATTGGGTGGAATGGACATAGGATATGGATGATGCCTTGTACGTAGCAGGTCTCAATGTTAGTCCCTCCTCACCTGCTTCCCTGCTTGTCCGTAGTGCATGTGCACCTTTGAAATAGTCAGTGTTCATTCTGGCACCCTGCTGCTTTCACCTGAATGTAACGTCTTTCTCTAGGCAGTAACATGGGGTTTTCAATTACTTTAGCAGCTAAATGATAGTCTATCTTACTGAGGTTTTATAACCTTACAGCCCCAGCTTCCAAGTCTTTATTTTTTATGTCTAGTTGGGTCTATAGTTTATTAATTTTATTGCATTAGGCAATCTCCAGTATCCTAAGGGGGGGTCCTAACTTAAGAAAAGAATTAATCTGTATTCGTTGTAGGGGCCCATGGTGGGGTGAGGGTCCTGGCTTAAGCTTTCGCTGTGCTCAGGTTAACCCCTTGAGAGGGTAGGCTAGTGCTCCTTCAGTTGGATTTGCATTTAAGCTCACTTTAGACCTGTTGCTGCTCTGGGCAGACAGGGGTGTTGTTTACTGGCTTGGGATATTTGTAAGCCCAAGTTAAATTATGGCTGAATGTGGCCTTCAGAGTCTGGCAGAGATTGAATTCCATTTCTACCACCTACTATATAACCACGAGCAAGCTGTCTGACGTCTCTGAGCCTTGGTGCAGGTTGTTAGAATGGCTTGGTGGGTGCTCAGTGTTAGCTGTGTGCCAGTGCTTTTACTGTTGGCCTTTATGTATCCTTGCTGTTAGCAGAGTTAACAACTTGTATCCATTTGTATGGTGGTGCCCAGCCTAGAGTAGCAAGCGTTGACTTCGATAGTGTAAACTGTGGCATATGTCTTAAGTTGTCAAGGATTTGAAACAACTGCCTCATTTCTCTTTTCACAGAAATTGCCCCGATGATGGCCAAGACAATTAAAGCTTTCAAGAACAGATTCTCCCGACGATAGACTGAGGACTTGCCTGGGAGACGGAACTGGGGGGGAGGAGGGGGGATACAAGGGCAGTGGAAGTTGAGGAATGGAACTTCCCAAGACGACCAGAATCTTTTTGTTCTGTGGAACCTTTTGGTCTTGGATCCTGCAGTTTCCAGGTGCTGCACTTATGAACCTGTGTGCCACAGCCACTGCCTCCCTGCCTGGAGAACCCTTCAGAATTCTGAAGAAGATGTGAAGCCTCAGTCTGACTGAGGATTTTAAGGTTTAAGGTCAATTATACTTTTGTTGTTAACTAGCCTCTTTGTAAAGTATAAGACATAGTTTTAATTAATAAATATTGTCCCCAGATTGTATTTATATTACCCCCAGTATTTTTTTTGGGGTCCTCTACCAAACAGTTTTTACTTTCAGAGGCCTTCATTAAATTTAGGACAAAAGCTTGGGGAAAGCCATTCGTGTCTCAGTTCAGCTCTCCTGAGTGAACTCAGGTCCAGAGGGAGAGCTGGGCATCCCCAGAGCCTGCGTGGTGCCTGCTGCGCTCGGTGAGGACCGGGTCCAGAACTGCCCTGGAGGGGGGCGGGGCGTGTTGGACCCCTCACCTCAGAGGCCCTTCTCAGTGTTGCTTGGAGTTCCTATGCAGGTGCATCTCTTACTCATCAACTAGTATTTATTAAGGGAGGTTTGTTTGTAAAGGTCGAGAGTCTACCATCCTTTTTTTTTTTTTTTTTTGAGGCCCACTGGAGGACACAGAATCTGTGGGAGACTGGTTTGCACAGAACCCCAGCATTTTTACAATTTCCAGTTTTTGCCTCAAGATTTTAGGTTTCTTTTCCCCTTCCCTATTCTTCCTTCTCCCCACTAGCATGGGGAAAAAAACAGATACATGGCAGTGCTTCTTGTGGCTCCAAATAAGACTTTAGAGTTGTAAAAACCAGCACTTCAATCTCTTGTTCCCTGTGAATTAACTGCTACCAGAAGTGAATGGTTTTAGAAGTTGTAATGCTACATTGGAAATTGGTTTTGTTTTGCCTTTTTTAAAAAAGGTAAGATCATGTGATTGGAAGAGCACAACAATTTGCTATGTTTTTTAGACAGCTGAAGCTCTCTCTGCCCTTTGAGCAATCAAGGCAGAATTTGGAAGGAAGGGCCAAGCAGGGAAAGTGTCTGAGCTGCAGTGTCAGGGTGGGTGGAAACCGCAAGGGCGTTGCATTTGGGAAGGGAGAATCTCGCTTTTCAGTTGACATGGGAGCAAGATCAGGATGGGGAGGGCAGTGCCGGTACCCTCCGTGGCTGTTGAAGAACACGGGTTTAGTAGGAATCCACTCGATTGTGACCCAAGTTGGAGTAAATGCTATAATTTGAGATGCCCGTGCTTAGAGGCAGAGTGAGGGGTGGTTAGTGCGGCAGTCCGAAGAGCTTTCGCAAAGCCCAGAGTACAGGCTCCCTATTTTTAAACCTCCTGGAGACCTCAGATAGGCTAACGTTGAAGATTCCAAGCAGCGCAGGGAATCTTCTGTGAGTGTGTTTCTGAAGGGTGCCAGAGCTCTGCGTCACAGTGCACAGTGCCAGCGGGACACAGATTGCTGTGTTTTAATTTGCATTCTGCATTTTTGAATCGGGTAAAGCATTATTTCTCTTGATCGCTTGTATTACCATCCCACCCTTGTCCCACATCTTGCTCCCCAAATCTGATACTAGGAAGCCTCTTACCTGAAACCAAATGAAAATTCGGGACAGGTGCAGACATCTGTTGCCTAGGATAGCTTCCTTCAGTTCCCACCCCACCACCCCCCGCCTTGAATTTGTCTCAGCTGTGTGTTCAAGTCTTCGTCATTGAAACCAGTTTCCCCTATTTCAGATTTAGTTGTGTATGATTTAATTTCTTTTATTAGGAATCTTTAGGCAGGGAGGGAAGAAAGGACACGTATATCATATTTGTTCATCCCAGCATCAATATCCATTTTTGGCACATGAAGAGTTTTTGATCACCCCTGTCTGCATAGAGCCAGGCCTTCTCTTGTTCACGTCCCCCCCCCCCACTCCACCACTGTCTGCATCAGGGATGTGACTTGGTGAGAAGAGTAAGGAGGGAAGAGGAAAAACCTAATTGCACAACCTCCTCACCTGGGTTATTGAAATGGCTGCAGAGTACACACAGGATGATGTTGAACTTTGGTCTCATTTGTGAAAACTTGTGCAATTTTTTTTTTCCCTGTGCTACACTACATACAAATCACCAAATTACAAATGAACCCTTTGTGATCCTTGGTGTGATGAACACTTTCTTTGGGGCTTTTTCTTTCCAGGAAGCAAGAGGGACTGGAGCAAGTCATCATCCTGCTCTTCATTTGTATTTTGGTCCCAAAATGTAAATATAATTTTCTATGTTACTTTTTTGTGGTAACTACCAAGATGAATATTTTAATTAGATAAGTTATATGAAAAGGAAGAAAAATTCCATGTCTAAATAAAACAAACAAACCCACATGCTGTTGTCTGTCTTCCTTTCTCCTTTGTTGTGTCAGAGAATGGAAACCAGTCACAAACTGGTTCCTGGGCTGCGAGGCAGAAATCTGAATCCACGGGTTAAGCCTTAAAGATGTTGCCTTTCTGTCTGTAGCATGGCAGGACTGGGAAAGGGGAGTTCAGGGGGAAAGAACCCAGTGGGCCAGGAAGGAAACTCACGTGATGAGCACATATTAGGGACCAGACACCGTCCCTCGTTATAATTGGAACCCTGGAACTGAGCTACCCATTTCTAACCATCTTATAGTTAGAAACTGAGGCTCAGAGGGTAAAATAGCCGAAGCCACATAGCTTGTGGCAAAAAGAAAGGATTTGGAACCCAGATTCTCTGGCTGCACAGGTGTGCCGGTCCACCTGTCAGGCTCCTTGGGAGTGGGATAGGCCCAGGTAGGTCTCCTTAGTCTTGCATTGGTGTCCTAACGGACCATAACAAACACTAACGGGCAGGTCTGGTCAGTAAGGACGTAAGAACCTGCTGTGTTGGCCCTGGCTGAGCTGCAGGCCTTTCACATTTGCTAATGGAGCCAAGGGCTTGACTTCAACCCCTACATATGATAAGTGCACTGGATTTTGACTCAGATCTACGTCTCAGGGTGGCATGGTTTCATTATACCCGCTTCTCTCCTGTAATGGATTTAATTGTGTGTCCCCAAAATTTATGTTGAAATCCTATCCCCTGGTACCTGTGAGTGTGACCTTGTTTGGAAATGGGGTCTTTGAAGATGTTATCAGTTAACATGAGGTCATGCTGGAGTAGGGTAGGTCCTAATCCAATCTGAGTGGTGTCCTATAAAAGAGGAGAGAGACAGGGAAAACAGCCATGTGATCAGAAAGGATCTTCCTTACTGCCTTCAGAGAGTACGGCCCTGCTGACACCCTGAATTCAGACTTCTAGCTTCCAGAACTGTGAGACAATATGAAGTTTTGTTCTTATAAGCCATCGTTATAGCAGCCCTACCCATTGCCAGCAAGTCGATTCTAACTCATAGCAACCCCATAGGACAGAGTAGAACTGCCCCATAGGGTTTCCAAGGCTGTAAATCTTTATGGAAGCAGACTGCCACATCTTTCTCCCGCAGAGTGGCTGGTGGGTTCGACCCCTGACCTTTTGGTTAGCAGCCGAGCACTTAACCATGCGCCACCAGGGCTATTTATAGCAGCCCTAGAAAACTAATACACCCCTTTCCCTGCTAAAGAGGGCATTCTTGTTTGATTTGGGCTTGATTTTCCTGATTCTTTTCAGAATCTAATTCTCGCTGTTAGAAACTGCTATGCATTGAAGGCAATTACGGGATGTGATATCTGATGGATGACTTTACCCAGAATTTGCAGTTTAGTCCTTTGTCCCTTATGCATTAATTTAACATTTGCCAAATTAGAACCTGTATTAGACCCTGGGATATAGAGTAACATACAGTTAAGGCTGGAGCTCACAGTCAGGGGTAACTGTGCACCTACTATATGCCAGCCACCATTCTGCCTTATACACATGGTCTTGACTATCAGCAATCCTACAAGGTAGGAAGTGATGGCCCCATTTTACAGAAGAGGAAACATGCACAGATTCAGAACTTGCCCAAAGTCACACCATCAGTGAACAGTGCTGTGTTGGCCTGACTTCAAAGCACATGCTCTTAGTTACATTAACCTTCTCATACACAAACACACATCCCCAATGTGAGGCTTCTGCAAGCAAAGCTGGCCTCCACAGGTAGAGAAAGCAATGAAAAAAGATCCCCGAGCCAAGGCCATAGTTTTGAGAATGATTTCTTTGCCTGTTGCATGTAACTCATGCCCAGCAGAAAATCCTCTACCTGGCTCATCACCTTGGCAAGATGCCCTCTTCCCAGGGTTTCTGTTCTAAGGCTTCTCGTCCGCTTGAGCCTCTCCCTGGTTTTTGGATAAATGGTAAAGTAGGTACTTTGTCTTCACAGGTTCCCAGACTTCTCTTTCTGTGATGCCTACTGTCTCTCAGCCTTTTCAAAAACTTAAGGGGAAGGTTCCAGCCATCAAAAGTTTGGTCCCTGTGTGTTGCCTAGCTACACCTGCGTTTCTCAAGCATAGAATCTCTGGGGTTGGGAACCAGGAGTAGGCTTTTTTTTTCTTTCTTTTTTTAAAATAAGTAACCCAAATAATTCTTCAAATGTTCATGGAAGGTTGAGAACTACCACTCCAGAGAACTTGCCGCAAATATTGTAATTGCTCTTTCCAGCTGGTCCATGGGCCAGGGCTGAGGAGCTTATACATTGGGTCTGATGGGATCTCAGCAAATATTTGTGTGTCACTGAATAAGGCAGACATGGCCCTTGTCCTCATGGAGTTTTCATCCAGTAGGGGAGACAGCAATCAAACAACTGCACAAATAATTGTTTAAAATACAGATTTCTGGGCCCTGCTGCAGAGAATCTGGCTGAATAGGTCAGAGGTAGGATCTGGAGGTCCATGCTTTTTTTTTTTTTTTCTTTTTATTGTACTTTAGATGAAGGTTTACAGAACAAATCATTTCTCATTAAACAGTTAGTACACACATTATTTTATGACATTGGTTAACAACCCCACGACATGTCAGCACTCTCCCTTCTTGACCTTGCGTTCCCTATTACCAGCTTTCTTGTCCCCTCCTGCCTTCTAGTCCTTGTCCCTGGGCTGTTGTGCCCCATTAGTCTCGTTTTGTTTTATGGGCCTGTCTAATCTTTGGCTGAAGCGTGGGTTCGTGCTTTTTTATATACCTCCCAATGAGTTTGATGAGCAGCCTGGTTTGAGAATACCTAGTGTTGTGGGAAAATCATGCTCGAGCTTCAGAATGATCAGACCCAGGTTCAAATCCTGGCTCCTCCACTCACTGGCTACGTGACACCTCTCTGAGCCTTAGTTTCCTCATCAGTAAAACAGGATAAAAATAACACCCCACAGAAATTATTGTAAGGATTCAGTGAGAGAAGGAGTGCAATAAACTTCGATGTCCTTCCTTCATTCCCCCTAAATGTGGAATGAAAGGAAAAAGTTGTGTTTCCTATTGTTGGAAATTCAAGCATTAGGGTCACAAGCTAAGAGCTATTTTGAGGTCAGCAAGTCCTTTCTGATAACTGATATCTTATCCCCTGCTATCCCAGTTCAGGGCTAATTTAACTCTTCTGGTTTTGCACTTCTATCTTATCCTTTCAGGCCTCTTACACTGTAGCCCCTAACAACTTCCAAGAAGGCAAATTCTATGAAGTTTCTTTTTATCACAAACTCAAATACCAGGGTTTATTTTATACCAGACAATGGGGAGTGGTGGAACCAGAAGGAAAACGTGAGCTGTTTACACAGCTGCACCTGGTCATATCCAGGTAGAAGGTAAGGCCCAGTGTTGTCACACCTTCTGGTTTTAAAGAAAAGACAGAAATCTAGGTTTTTATGTGAAATTTTTCCAGTTTTCAAAAGTCTATGCCACAACTCTATATAATATATAGAAAACCTATTTCATGCATTTGGATATTTTCTAGAAAAAATACAATTTACCAAAATTGACCCCACAGAGGTGGCAAATCTAAACAGACTAATTATCATAAAGGAAATAGAGAAAAGTAGTTACAGAGCCTTCTCCATAAGAAAGCTCCAGGCCCAAGATGGTTTCACAGGGGAATTCTTCCAAACTTTAACAGTCAGATAATATCAATGCCATTTAAACTATTCCAAAGCAAAGAAAAAGGAAAATGCTATTGAAGCTAGTATAACACTGAGCTTGAAAGTGGCTAAAGATCGCACCAAGAAAGAAAATTACAGACCACTCTTATACATGAATATTGATGTGACCATCCTAAATATTAGCAAGCAAAATCCAACAGCACGTTAAAACAAACAAAAATCATGTCCAAGTGAGGTTTGTTTAGGACTGACAGGATAATCCAATTCTGTATTAATCAGGAGAGGCTAGGGCAGTAGTTCTCAACTGGGGGTGATTTTGCCCCCACGGTACATTGGGCTACGTCTGAGACATTTTTGGTTGCAGTTGGAGGGGAGGTTGCTACTGGTTTCTAGCGGGGAGAGGCCCGGTATGCTGCTAAACATTCGACAATTCATAGGACAGCTCACACAACAAAGAATTACCCAGTCCAAAATGTCAAGAGTGCTGAGGTTGAGGAACCCTGGGCTAGTTATATTGCAGTAGCAACCCCCAAATCTCAGTGCCTTGAAACAACAAAGATTTCTTGCTCACACCACATGCCCATCATGGGTCTGATGGGGGCTCTGCTTCACGTCATCCTCATTCAGGGACCCAGGCTTACCTTCTGCTTCTAAGAGTTCCACATTAATGATGTACATCTGGCAGTAATGAATGCCAAGGTGTGAGGCGAGAGTAATGCTGGCTGTGATGGTTAAGGGTATGTGTCAGCTTGGCTGGGCCATGATTCTCAGTTTGGTAGTTATGTAATGAGGTAATCTGGCAGTTGTGTAATGATGCAGTCATCTTCCATTTTGTGATCTGACGTGGTCATCCTCCATTTTTGCATAATGCCAATTTTCACGTAACAACCTGATCTTTGGAATGTAACCATGTCGATAAATGAGGAGTGGGTGTATACTAAGACAAACATTTGACTAACTGACATTAGGTATGAACCATACCTAACTGTTTCAACTTACGTACAAATTTGACTTAAAGACAGACTTAGGAACGGAACTCACTTGAAATTCGCGTACTGCTTGTATATAATACAGTGTTCGCACAATGTCCAAATCACATCACATCCTATTTCACAGAATGTATCGTGGATGTTAAGCAATGCATGACTGTACTCTCTATTACTATACTATACCTTTGCCACAAAGGAACATCCAAAAGTAACCAGAAACCAGTTTGTATCTCTCAGCCCAGCTGAGGCAGGAGAGAAGGGTAGATGGTTACAAATTCAGCAGTCCTTGTTGTACAGAAATGTTGCAGATGGAATGGGAAAAAGAAAAAAAGTGATAAGCTTTTCCCACCCGCCCAAGGCAGTCCTAGAAGTCAGTGAGAAATCACATTTGTCCTCAACACAAGAGTACCAGAGAAGGGACAACAAGCAAAGGGTGCAAGGCATTATTCCAGATCACAGCTAAGCCACCCTGCAACACTTGGTCTCCTTCCAAATCCAACCCCCTTAGCAATTGCAGTTTTCCATCCAACCAGAGGGGGGCATTGAACTGACAGTCTTGGTCCTGGCAATAGTAATAGTCACCATTTACCCTTTTTATATGAGCCAACTGTACCAAACACGTTTCATGCATTATCTCGTACTACCTTCATAATAAAACCCTATGAAGTAGGAATTCTTCTTATTCCCATTTTATATATGACAAATCTTGCCTAGCAAGCCGCCCTTAATATTTATGGGACCAGGGCAAGAGTACAAATGGAGGCATATTTAAAAAGTTATAAATGAACTGTTAAATAAAATATGTTTTATTCTGCTATCTTGACAAATCAACCCTCACAAGGAGCTGGAAGGTTTGGTTCACATTTCGGGACCTCTCAGAGTTCTGTACTGCAAGGTGATACAAGGGGGGATAGCAGGACCACAGTCCTGATTCCCTTCTCTTCATACCCCCAAATCCATTTGCCTGGTGACAGAAGAGAAGCCAAAAGTGAGTAGATGTTCTGGGTAAGGCCTGTGTTGGTCCTGCAGTGTGACATGGTCTTTCCAAAGAAAGGCTGCTGAGTGTATCATTCAATTAAACAAGCATTTACTAAGCGTTTGCTGTGAGCCAGGCCCCTTATGTGAAAGCAGGAATAATCCATAGCATTGAGCTACTTTGAGGCAGGAACGAGAATTTGCCTATTTCACAAAGAACTGAACTAGGACATCAAACTATTTCTGAATAGAACTTGAACACATGGGTAGTTTGGTTTGTATTCCACCACCCCCAGTCCGGATACTCCAGGGCCAGATGTTAAGAGTGTTTGAAAGATACAGCCTGTGAAGCGCAGGGAATACAGTTTTCCATAACTCTCTCTGCACCTTCTATCTTTTCTCCTCCCATCCAAAACAAAACAAAAAGCCAAATCCATTGCTTTGGCAACCCCACGTGTTACGGATTAGAACTGCTCCATAGAGTCTTCTTGGCTGCAATCTCTATGGAAGCAGATCACCAGCCTTTTCCGTGGTGCCGCTCATTGGGTGGGTTCGAAATGCCAACCTTCGTTTAGTAACTGACTGCAAACCTCTTGCACCACCCAGGGACCTCTTCCTCCCATCCAGGGAGCACGAACGTTTTCTACAGAATCAGTTCCACTCGAAACGGTGGCTTTCAATTCTTTTGACTACAATCCATGATATGAAAACCTTTTACATTGCACTCAAAACTCAAAAATTTCCATAAATAGAGATTTACAATGTGTAATACATTTTGGAATTTAAAAAATTGTATTCTCTTTTATTTTCTAAATGCCAGTCACAATCCTCCGAGTAGATTTTAAGATCTATTAATGGGTCGCAATCAGCCATTCGAAAAAACTGCTCTGAACCATCCCAGGGAAGGGAACTTCAACAGTCGTCTAGTCCAATCTCTTCACTTCACAGGAGGAAAACTGAGACTCAGGTTAAGTCACTTGCCCAAGGCCACTCAGCTAGTAAGTGGCAATGCTTGAATATGAACCAAGATCTGACTCCAAGACCACTACTAAAATGAAATAGTAATTATTGTAATAACCAAAATCTACTGAATTCTTACCCTGTGTCAGGTAGTGTGCTGAGTTCTTCTTGTGCATTATTTCATTTAATACTCACTGTAATCCTATGAATAGAAAGTATCATTATTCCCACTTTACAGATGAGGAAGCGGAGTCTCAGAATGCGGAAGTTACTTTTTCAGAGTGTCCCACTGTCAGTAGTGACCCAGGACTTGTCTTGAGATCTGGCCGTCCACAAAGCCCGTACTCCCCAACCTCGAAGCCCGCTATCAGGGCACTGGCCAGGAAAGGGAGTCTGCGCTCTAAACCCTAAACGTGCACTTGGGAGGCAGTGATAACGGTGTATTCCCTGCCCTTCGGGGCCTTCATCATTCCGCACCCTTCCCTTGGCCAGCTGCCAAAGAAACGTGATGGTAAAAGAAAAGAACATAGACTTTCGCGGAGGGGGAGCAGGTATCGAATTCCAGCCCCATCAGTTACTGCGAACACCAGCTTAACCTCTCTGCCCTTCAGTTTCCATATCTATAAAGCTGGGATAGTAGCAGCATGCATCTCTAACATCAAAGAGACAACATCAGTTCTCTGGCATCCGAAAGGCGCTCGTCAAACGTCAATCCTCTCCCAGCCCCACCCCCCTTCCCCGAGCGCATGCGCCTTACTGGGGCGCCTTTTATGACGCGGCGGCCAAGGCGGCCGCGGTGCGCTTGGCGGCTGGAGTGGAGCGAGCGCCCCGGCAGCGGCGGTGGGGTCGAGGGGCCCGGCGGGCGGCGGCGTTGCCATGTCGCACGGCCACAGCCACGGCGGGGGCGGCTGCCAGTGCGCTGCCGAACGGGAGGAGCCACCCGAGCAGCGCGGTCTGGCCTACGGCCTGTACCTGCGCATCGACCTAGAGCGGCTGCAGTGCCTCAACGAGAGCCGCGAGGGCAGCGGCCGCGGCGTCTTCAAGCCGTGGGAGGAGCGGACCGACCGCTCCAAGGTGGGCCTGACGGGGCCCGGGGTGGGCGGGAGAGGCGGGGACCTACGCAGGGCCTCTGGCCGCCAGTCTTCTGCCAGCCTTATTCGTGGTGTTAAAAATAACGACAGCCCGGTTGCCAAGCGCTTTCCCGTGCCCATCTCCCGCCAGCCCTTTGGGAGACGAATACGGTAGAGTCACCTTGTTTTGCAGATAGGGAAACTGAGGCCCCAGGAAGGAAAGGGGCGCGTCGGCTTTACACAGCTCTGTTCCAGGGCTGTGGGAGGTTGTGTGGAAGGATAGCCTGAGGGCGTTTTCCCTTCCATTTGATCACTGGTTCCAGTGGCTGCCTGATCATAGCACCTGATGAAGAGCAGACCAGGAAGACGAAGGGTGTTATCCTATTTAGAACACAGGTTCTTAACCATTTTAGGGCCACAGCCCCCTTTGAGAATCATTTGAAAGCTGTGAACCCTCGCCCCAGAAAAATAAACATAGGCACCGATATTTGCACACAGCTTCAGGAAGCTGGTGGACCCTGGAAGTTCCCCATAAGGCTAATTAAAGTTAAATACTGGAAAGCCGAGGGAGGTTGACGATATGCATTGCACCACAGTTTTAGAACAGCGTGGAGGATGCCTGAAATTGTAGGCACTCAGCAAATATTTGTTGCTTTCTCCTCCCCACTCCCCACCCCCTACCAGTTTGTTGAAAGTGATGCAGATGAAGAGCTTCTGTTTAATATTCCGTAAGTATCTCCTTAGTGCCTGCCTCGGGTTAAATAGGCTATACCCAGTTGCCTAGTCAGATGGATTAATTCATTGGTTGTGTCAAGAGTACATATGTTTCCATAAATGGGGTTTGGTGGGTTTGAGGAGGTAAGCTTCATAGGTTTTTTGGTGCAGACTGGAAACAGATGTATTTGTTGAAAGATAACTGAGAAGTCGAGGTAAATTTCTTAGAATTGTAGAATTCCAGAGGTAGACAGGATCTTAGAAATTATCTAGTAAAACCCAACCCGTGAATAAACTGAAGTCCAGAGAGGGGAATTCAAGGGATTCAAGTCCAGGTTGACAACCATCTCTTGCATTTCTGGCAGATTTACAGGCAATGTCAAGCTCAAAGGCATCATTATAATGGGAGACGATGATGAATCACATCCCTCTGAGATGAGACTGTAAGTGGCAAGGGCTTAGGCCCTTAAGCTCCTAGTCATTCTCTTTCTCTGGTAGCACTTTATTAAAGAGTATCATTTTTCTTTTGACTGTGTTTTTTATATTTTTTAAATTTCCTGGTCTTGTTCTTATTCTATATATGAATTCACTTATCTCTTCCTGAGTTAACGACTTTTTTAGATTAAGCATCTTCAGGGCCAACAGCTTATCTCTTTTTTCAGTGCTCACTCCAGCACCATTCATTCAGAGGCCATCCTATAAATGTCAGTTGTTGATGACTTTGCAGTTTTTTTTTTTTTTTAAAATAACTCAGCTGCAGTTCTTGAAGGATCTTTATAGATTCTGTTGTTGAAGTTAGTGTCAAAATTTCTCCTTGCCATTTCACACAGTAATAATCTGTGTGTGTGTTTGTTGACATGGAATTTTTTCATCTGCACTTGCATGGCCTTTTTAGATAACAAAGTTCTGTACACCTCTTGCAACACTGGCTCTGTTGCCACCAGAGATAGCACTTTCTTTTTGACAATTAACCTTACTTCTAAAAGAAGGGGAAAACAGTTTTTTGAGTGCTGGAGAAACATGTCAGATGATGAGAGTAAGTGTCAGATGATGAGAGTAAGTGAAGTGGTATCTTGTGGTTAGCTGCACTCTTTGCAATACCAGTTTCAAAAAGTTCTTATTTAAAGAACGGTACATACAGAAATTTCATTTGGAAAAATGAGCAATTTAAATGGATTTTAGGGAGATTTGAGAAAGGAAATTAACACCATTTTTGGATGTTAGAAACATGAATTTGAAAACAACTCATCCACATATTTAACCATTTTAAGAAAACAGTAGGTGTGATTCAGAGATGCTTTTGGAGACTCATTTACTTTTGGGATGAATTGGCTTGAGAAGACTAAACGTTCATGTTGTATTGTGGTTAAGAGTATAGGCTCTGTAGTTTTTTTTTAAAAAAGTGTAGGCTGGCTCTGGAATAAACTGCTGGGGCTCAGATTCTGATTGGACATTTGCTAGCTGTGTCACCTTGGGACATTATTTGTCTTCTCTGCACCTCAGTTTTCTCATGTGTAAAATGGGAATAGTAATGGTACACACCTCATAAGACTGAGGAGAGAATTAAGTGAATTATAACATGTAAAGAGTTTAGAATAGGTCTGGAACATGGTAAATGCTCAATTTTGGGCAGGCAGGTACAGACACATACATAGCCCCCAGTTTTAAGCACTTTACATATATTATACTTTATTGAATCTCAGATATCATTGATTGTAACATGCACCGTTATTTTATTAATAAGGGGAAAAACGCTGGCAGTTGAACTATAACATACCATTGACACACCAGAAAAGTTAAATTGGGAGTCTTAAATCAGAGAAATTTGAACACAGACTAGGTGTTAAATGATACTAAGGAATTGTTAATATTGTTAATTAATGTAAAATAGTATCATAGGTTTTGTTTTTAAATTAAGTCCTTTTTTTTTTCTATTTTAGATGAAAGTTTACAGAACAAACTAGCTTCTTATTAAACAATTAATACACATACTGTTTTTGACATTGGTTAACAACCCCACAGCATGTCAACACACTGCCTTCTCGACCTTGGGTTCCCCATTACCAGCTTTCCTGTCCCCTCCTGCCCGCTAGTCCTTGCCCCTGGGCTGGTGTGCCCCTTTAGTCTCGTTTTGTTTTATGAGCCTGTCTGATCTTTGGATGAAGGATGAACCTCAGGAGTGACTTCATTACTGAGCTAAAAGGATGTCCGGGGGCCATACTCTTGGGGTTTCTTCAGTCTGTCAGGCCAGTAAGTCTGGTCTTTATTTGTGAATTAGAATTTTGTTCTATATATTTCTCCAGCTCTGTCTGGTATCCTCTGTTGTGATCCCTGTCAGAGCAGTCAGTGGTGGTAGCCGGGCATCATCCAGTTTTGCTGGACTCAGTCTGGTGGAGGCTATGAAAGTCCTTAACTTTTTAGAGAAACATACTAAAGTATTTATGGGTGAAATGATGTACTGTTTGGGATTTGCTTTAATATTGAGTAAAGACAAAGGGGGGGTGATAGGCAAGATCAGCTTAATGTTGATTATTGAAACTGAGTGTTAAGTATATGGAGATCATTATATTTTGTCTAAGTTTGAAATTTTCCTTAGTAAAATTAAAAAAAAAAAGTGCATCTCTTAGAACTGATTCATTTTAATCTCCACATCAGCTATAGGGGGTAAGAACTATCACTATCCCCATTTTTCAAATGAGGAAACTGAGACAGAGGTTAAATTACTTGCCAGAGGCACACAGCTGATAAGTGACAGAGCCAGGCTTTAAACCCAGGAAGTCTGGCTCCAGAGACACTGCTCTTAACTGCAGTGTTACACTGCCTCTCATAATGCCACTCATAAATGCTCACTATTACTATTATTCTGCTTTGCTTCAGTCTTAGAAACACTTTGAAGCAAACATTTGCTTTTTTAAATGACATGCGTTTTGCTACAGCTAATATTTAGGCCCTTCCCCGGTGGGTGTGTTAATAAAATACCCTGGAGATAGGTGGAAACCCAGGTGGCTTAGTGGTTAAGAGTTTGGCTGCTAACCAAAAGGACGGCAGTTCGAATCCACCAGGCACTTCTTGGAACCACTACGGGGCAGTTCTACTCTGTCCTATAGGGTCACTATGAGTCGGAATTGACTTGTCGGCAGTGGGTTTGCTTTTCTGGTTTAGAGATAGGTGGTGGGGATGTGTGGCTCAGTCCTTTAGAATTTGTGTGTTGTAGGAAGACACCTGTTTTCTTAGATTTTTTTCTTAGAAAAAATCTTTTCTTCACTAGCAGTTGTGACTTTCTAAAGTCTCTTGTGAGTTTGCAGCATTTTGTGTTCTTTTCTAAATGGAAATCCCCAAATTGTGTTTTTTTAAGAACTGTAAGATGACTGAGTGTATAGGCTAATTTCTGGACACAAAAAAATGATTGAGCGTTGAGTTACCTGATCTTATCTCTCAACTGTTTAATATGTTTCTGCCAAAGTATGTATTTTCTCTCATGAGTAAGCTGTTTTATTTAGCATCCCCAGCTTTGTGTGAATGTGCTGAGTTGTGTATTTTTCTCTGTGCATTTTCAGCATGTGATCTAGTTTGAGCTGTCTCTTTCTGTATTCTCATGTGATCTTAACCCACTCAAAGATGCCACTTGGTTACGTTGCAGTTCTTAGCTCTTTTGTTGGATTGAAGATATTTGTGTGTAAATGTTCATAAAATGCCATTTCCAAAATTTGACCCCCAAAATTGACCTAGATGTCCCCTGAAACCATGGTCCCCAGACCCGCGTCCCTGCTACTCTGTCCCTCGAAGTTCTTGGTTGTATTCAGGAAACTTCTCAGCTTTTGGTTTATTCCAGTTGTGCTGACTTCCCCTGTAGTGTGTGTTGTCCTTCCCTTCACGTAAGATAATTCTTGTCTACTGTCTAGTTAGTGAACAACCCTCTCCCTCCTTCCCAGCCCTCGTAACCACCAAAGAATTGTTTTCTTCTATGTTTAAACCTTTTCTTCAGTTCTTTTTTTTTTTTCAATTTTGTTGTTGTACTTGAAGTGAAAGTTTACAATTCAAGTTAGTCTCTCATACAAAAATTTATACATAGTTATGTGACCCTAATTGCTCTCCCTATACTGTGACAGTACATTCCTCCTTTCCACCCGATTTCCCGTGTATATTCAACCAGCTCCTGACCCTCTCTACCTTCTCATCTCACCTCTGGACAGGAGCTGCCCATATAGTCTTATGTATTTACTTGAGCTAAGAAGAAGCACACTCTTACATGAGTATCATTTTATGTCCCATAGTCCCGTCTAATCTTTGACTGAAGAGTTGGCCTCGGGAATGGTTTTAGTGCTGGGTTGACAGAGAGTCCAGGGGCCATGTTTTCTGGGGTTCCTCCAGTCTCAGACCATTAAATCTGGTCTTTTTACTAGAATTTGAGTTCGGCACCCTACTTTTCTTCTGCTCCAGCAGCGACTTTTCTGTTGTGTTCCCTGTCAGGGCGGTCATTGGTGATAGCCAGGCACCATCTAGTTCTTCTGGTCTCAGGCTGATGACATCTCTGGTTTATGTGGCCCTTTCTGTCCCCTGGGCTAATGCTTTCCTTGTGACTTTGGTGTTCTTCATTCTCCTTTACTCCAGGTGGGTTAGGACCAATTGATGCATCTTAGAT